TGGATTTGTTTTGATCCTAGCTATATGCTTACATACATATACATATATGTGTATTTGTGCATGCTTAGCTTATTTGTTGCGTGCAAATTTAATCACCTGCAAACATGCAGGTGGTATTTTCCTAATAAAGCTTAATGAAACCCTAAATCTTAAAGGATACTTACTACTCATGCGTGTATTGGTGCTTTTTGTGGCCAAAGTTAGTGGCTAAAGTTATATTCACATATTTGTGTGTGTGTGTGCCTGTGTTTACCTTATAGGCATAATTGCGGTGTTTTTTCTATGTTCTATGTTCGTGTTTTCGGAATAATTTAATTACATTGTATCGATTACAAATTGGATTACGATATTCGTTAAGTTTCCTTTTTTACTGCACGATACTGCAGAACGGTCTATGTTAATTAGTATCCTTGCCACGAAGATGGTCTGCTACCTGCCCCGGAAATTTTCTAAAGAATAATTGCCCAATATATAAATACAATGAATTTAAAGCTTGTAATCCCAACTGATGGGTTTGATCAGGTTATTGTGGCTGTACTTATCAAGCGTTTGAAGAAAGGACACTTTAGCTTCGATGAAACCATTTTCATACAGTAATATTCTTGCTTTCCCTAAAAGTGCAAAGAATTCATCTTTCTGATGCAGATCAGAAAATCAAATTGGAAGTGTGAGCTTCACCGCCTATCTATTTAAGACCAGGTTAAGAAAAAAATCGATCCCACAGCTTCCAGCTTCAGTGATTGCTGCTAGTTCGGAAAACAAAAACTGTGATTGCATTGGTGCTCTTGAGAGTATACAATGCTTCTTCCCAATCGCTCCTTGAAAAAATACTTGTTTCGAAATAATTCCTCAGAGCAAAGAGCGATACTTGATATTCTGGGCATCTTAAGTTTGCATGAATATTTTAACTTATTTTGGAGTGTCTGACCATCGTATCGCTTCATTATATGAATGCGTTTAATCTTACTGCTTACGTCTTACCTATAGTTCTTTAAATAACTTCCCCAGTAAAAATAAAAGGTCTCATGGCTCTTGTAGGTCTTCAAGCCACATTTTTTCCCCTAAATCTGATTAGAAGGTGCCTACGGCAGTTAATGTTTTTCTTATATGCTCCTTTACACTGAGCCTCCTCTTTCTGTTCCAAATAACGCCCAAACATCCGACTTCCTCTTAGATTTTCAGATTTTACTAAACCCAGTACAGTGAACATACACATGCACTTGAGTTAAAGGGGCGCATATATTTGTAAGGGGATATGCATTTTTATGCAATTTTCAAATATATCTTCGCCCAAGGTGTTGAAATAATGAATCGCTGACATTCCCAACCATGGCCGAGGCTACAATACATGTCTTTTCAATGGAGTTCCGCATAAATGTAAGAGCCACTTTTGCTCTACCGCGTCATCTGGTTGCCTTTATAATTCTCTCACTCTCTCTCTCTCTCTCTCATACCAGGCGTATGAAGTGCGTAATTGACTTGAGTGGCGCTTATTATAGGGAATGCACATGATCAGGCATGGGCAGAGAACGAGCACACGGTCAAAGAGCGTAACGCGGCAGCATGCAAAATGAATTAGGCACACTAACACAAATTAATAAAATAAATTTCTTAAAATTTAATAATAAAAAAACAAATATTTTTCCTTTTAAAACAAATTAAAAGAAAATTATATTAAAAATAGCAAAAACTGAATTCAGAAAGAACAAAGAAATATTTTTAATCTAAAAACAAAAATCTAAAAAATTAATTAAATAAGAAAAAAAATAAAATAAAAATATAGGTTTCTAAACATTAGATGAAATTAATAAATGCAATTGTATGTATGAATTTGTTTCCTTTTTTAAACATTAGAAACTAAAAATTAAAGGAAAATTAACTAAAAAAAAAGTAAAAATGCCGCTGCCCGAGGACTCGAAACTCGGATCTCTCGAATCTCACGCCAGTGCATTGCTCACTCGACCATTGCGACTTTTGGACTCGAGCGAGCAAAATGATATGCTTTCTTTCAAAAGAGCTTTTCACCATGAAAATTTGCAAGGGAGCTTTTTTGTAAAATTTGTGTGCCCAGAAAAAAACTCTTTCAAACTATCTTACGTACTGTACTTCAATTGTTTTTGAAAATACTTCATTTTCTTACCCTTAGCTTCGTCAGAAAAATTAGGTGGTAAAACCGTCTTGAGGTACGAAAATCGGATCTGGGTCGATATTACAGTACAGTAGAAAAATCTTTGGTTAGTGCAAACGTTAATAAAACGAATCAAAAGTTTAATGCGATTACGAATGCCACAGTACACTACGAGTAAGTACCTATTTATGGTATGTACGCCAACTAAAATTCGTAGTAGCAGCAGTTATATGTAAAAAAAAAAAGCCGAAACAATCATGTGACGACAGCACCCGCGAAGACTAAATTAAATCAACATTTGTCTCACTTAAATGCTCATCAAATATGTTTTACAGCATGACATTCTTGAGCGCATTCTTGTATCTAAGCATAAGCTTGCTTCCGCTCGTTTATCTAAGCAAATAAACCCCCGAAAAAAAATTTAAAAGGCAGAGGAATCAAAGAAAACGAAGCAAAAGAGTTGAAACATATCAGCCGGAAAGCAAACACACCTACTCAGCAATATTTGTACAGCATAAGAATGGTAGAGGTTTTTTGAAAATGTAAAGAAAATCAGCATTCTAAGTGGAGAGCTATCGCCAACAGTTGCCGCTGCTTCTATGTTTGCCTGCCGCTAGAATCACTGAAGTGTAAGAATATTTCGTTAAAGTCACGGCAAACAAAGATTTATAAATATAGAAAAAAAAACAAAACTTTCCAGTGTATGTGTACATTTTAAAGCACATATGCACATATGTATGTACTTGCATCCGCTCCTACACATCGGCAATACAACCCACACGCAGACACACTCAAATGCTTGAATAAGTGCACTTGTGTGGCAAATTTCAAAAAAAAAAAATATTTTTTTTTTTTTTTGAACTGGCAAGCGTCGACAAAGGACCAATTCAAGTTTGAATTGGCATTGAAATCATGAAGGCATGTTCAAATTTTTTATTTGAAAAATTTTATTCCAACCCTCTGCATATGTCCATAAGTATTATACTTTTATGTGAAAGTGAGTGTATACCTTCATAAAAGTATGTGACATTTGCGCATTTGTGTATGTCAGATAGCAAACAAATGTCACTGCTAAAGTGAACAATTGAATTTGGCGCAATGACACAATCTTTGCTATGTTTACATTTTTTCGCATCGTTGCACGCATCTTATATTTATACATACTCGTATGTATGTACGTATGTGCGTACAAAATTCAAGTACAAGTTTTTATAAATCTTAAAAAGGGAAGTGTGTTTGATGTCATATTTGCTCTGCTCGCTTGTCATATATTTTCTCCTCCTTTCTATTTGACAATGAGCGACACAATTTTTTACTTTTCTTCTCCATTTTCATTTTTCTACATACGACTAGAAAGGTCTAGTTTAAAAGGCCAAATGTGAGTGCAGGACGATGTAAATACAGATAGCGTCTGTTTGTTTATGAAAACTTTTATAACTATGCTGCATATTTAAGATACCTAAGCATGGAGTATTTATCTATGCAGATATTGAAAATTGAAGAATACAAGTTTTGAAGCATCAATTTTGTATTACTGCAAGAAAGGGTCTACTGGGCTAAATATTTTACTGGCAAAACATATGTACATATGTATGTAACTCTGCATCATAACCCCCATTGGAGACATCGAAAATGTTTAATGTTTTATATATGTATTTATTTATGCCAATTTAGTTAAGGCGGTAGTCAGTAACCGCTCCATTTGGCTAGAGTCTATCAAAGTTTCACCGAGGCTTGGGCTAGTACTGCTGCTTTAAACCTCGCTCAGTAAGAATTTCATAGTGGTCTCCAATCTTTACTTTAATCGTTAATCGTTGAAATGGTCCAAGTAATAAATGCTGTAGTGGTCTAATCCTTAACTCAAGCAAATCCAAGTTGATATTATTTCATAATAGGAACAATCTAGCCTGCCGTGCATATTAGCAAATCTCACGGGTTGTTACATTTATCGACATAAACGTATTTTGGTGTAAAATGGTGGCACACCTACCTTATACAGTGCTTTATCTTCAATTTTACATAAAGAACAAAATTGTATTTAAATAAAAACTTAAAATAATAATAATAATAATAGATTGGCGCTTACACATATGTTAGTGTTTGGCCGAGCTTCTCCTCCGATTTGTGGCGTGCGCCTTGAAGTTGTCACACAAAGCGGAGGGACCTACAGTTTTACGCCGACTCCGAACGGCGATTGTATTTTTAAGAGAAGCTGTTTTTCATGGCAGTAATACACTCGGAGGTTTGCCATTGCCTGCCGAGGGACGACCGCTGTTAAGAAAAAACCTTTTTTCTATATTTTTTTGCGATGTTGAACTTAAAATAGGTATACTAAAAAAAGCCAAAATAACAACTCTTGCGCATATATTTACGTTTAGTTATGTTTGTAACGCATATGCCGCGTTGCAACATTGAAGGCCAGCTAACATATTTACTCGCACGCCTTTACTTAAAAGTCATTTTATTTAAAAGTTATTAAATACTGCCGTGAAATATTTTCTTACAGCATTCTTCGCGAATACATATATTAATTTTTGCGTATAAATAACAATTTTAGAATGAATTTCGGGTGTGCCAATAAACATTTAAAATTGGAATTTTTGTTTCGCAAATCATCGTCTTCTTATAATCAATATCATTCTTTTTTGTTTGGTGGCACTCTAGTTTTATTACTCTAGATTGGCTCGTTTTGGCAAAAAAAAACTTGTTCACTCTTTGATGTTAACGTTTCGAAGTATCTTAATGTTTTAAATGAAAAAAATCTTTAGTTTTAAAAATTAAAAAATAGCTGCGACAGATACTCTGCACTCTGCCATTTTTTTTTTTGGCATACTTTTGAATTTCCAGATATGTCGTATTTGGTGCCAACTTTCATTGCCTCTCAGAGTAACATTCGGAGTTCGTTCATAATTTGGGTAATTTTACTTGCGCTAGGTATGAAAATGTACACATCATTTTTGAATATGATGTTTATTTCCCTAGTATTGAGTTTCTAAAGAATTGTAAAAATGAAACTTAGGGTTTTTTAAGTACTTTTTCGTACTGAAAGAAATTTCAAAAAAATATTAAACTTACCGATTTGTATAGAAAAAATGTCGCGTTCAGTTAAGAAAAAATAATTTAATTACATCACATCGGAGGTAAAAATTTGAAAACAGACTTTAGGAAACTTCCGCTGTTTTTTTTTAAATTTTCTATTACAAAATATAGTCAAAGGCCGAATTATAATACTTTTGAAGTTTTACTGCCGTTTTCTCAAGTGGATTTTAATACCTATTTACCCGTCAAGCACATTTATTCAGACTTCAATTTATATTTAGAGGGCTGATAAATTTTAAAACCGACTTGTGAAAATGGCACCTAGAGATTACCGCCAACTTTATCGTCTCGATTTACGAGTTTTCGTTTTCTTATCAGCGCATTAAATTCTCGAATCGATAAATTGTTGCTCACCCGATTTATCGATTCAAGAAGTTAATGCGCTGATTATAAAATAAAACTCGTATATCGGGACGATAAAGTGACCGGTAATCTAAAGGTTAGATGAGAAAACGGCCCTTAGAGTGTGATCGGCATCAATAAGGGGGATAGATAAATTTGGGTACATAGACCTCGCATTGAGTATGATGCTAGGCGTTTCTTTATAACGCAAGCAAGTTGCTTGTGTTTCTACTAGTGTACTATGGAAACTGCCCCAATTATATAAATATTAAATACATAACAATTTCAGTGGGTTATGCTTCGTTTCACGTGCTGAAAGTCTCTATTGAAAATACAAAATTGCGCGCTTGCTTTTTTACTCACCTCGGCTGGAAATGTATATCCTTCCACACTATGCTCCGAACCAAACTGATCGTGAAGTCCATAGTGTATATGAATTTCATGAAATCGATATCTGTATGACAGTGGTCCGCCAGATATGTTAACTGGCGTTTGCATGCCATCATAATTCGCTACAGTCTCATTGCCAGCAGTGAAGATAACGCTATGCCCTGTATTGCTAATTAAACCGCTTATCTGCAAAAGAAATTATTTATAATCATAGTGGAGCAACTATGCAATGAATGGGCTGCTTAAGATTACTTTGAGTTTACGAAATTCTAAACTTACTCTATGTTTGTCAATATGCAGCGGTCTCAGATTTGGATCGAACAACAATCGTTGTGGCTCTAAGTTCACTGGTGATTGTCGACGTCCCTTATTACAAAGTGACCACTCCGGGTTGATGAGACCCCAAAAGGCGGGACCTGAAAGAAAGCGGAAAAATATCCTCAGTGATTTTTAAAACCATTTTTATTTTAATAAATAAATGTGTGTATGTATGTACGTGTGTATTTTGAAAGACTTTGGCGATCAGATTTAGTCTTGATTCATCTGTAATTACAACTAATTACTTAGTAAGTATCAAAATTTTAATTTTAATATATTAAAAGATTTAAAAATGCTGCTTGCCTAGTGCTTTCATAGTTAATAAAAAATTAGGAAATAGTTTAGAGGATTTGATCACCTTTCATTAAAACCGTTACTCATACGCCATGTAATCCCAACTTGTCTACTTCAATAATACTATCAATTTTTACCATAAAATTCACAAACTTTATACGAAGCAAATTTCCTTTTCAATTCCACCAGCAATAAAATAATAAAATAAACACTATAAAAACAACGAGAAGAATACAATACAAAAACTTGTTCCCTAAACCAATGTAAGAATAAGTAACTGAAACTTTCTGAAGGCATCAAACAAATAAGAAGAGCCAAGTTAGGTAAATAAACAGAAGTAAAATAGAAGAGCAACAAATAAAAAAAAATAAAAAATAAAACAGACAGGGAAAGTTGAAGTAAGCGGAAACCGACGATTCGAAAAAACGCAGCTGGCAAGAATTATGGAGAATTTCAAATAGAGTAAAATGAAATAAGATAAAATGTTAACTGAACTGAAGATGCTGAAAATGTAAAGTAAAGTTTTTGTGGAGCAAAGTAAATAAATTAAGTTTTGTTTGTAAACAGAGCAAGAGTTAAAGGAAAGTAGGACTAACGTTAAAAAAAATATATATATAAAAATAAAAAGCTGAGAAATGGTTTTATTAGTTCTGCTGCCTCTTTTACTCTTTTTTTCATTTGTGTACAAGTTTGCATATTTTTTACTTATTTTTAATACAAATCAAATTGGTAAATATTCGCAACTGAACAAACATATAGCTATTTGTAAAATCATTAAGAATTTCTACATTGACGCCATCAGGTATCTTAATGAAAATGTCTATGTCTTTTTTCTGTAATACCACTTCGGCTAACAACTTTAAGTAGATACAATCTCTTAGTTTTACATTTCACATATTTTGTGTAATAAGGTTCTTATGATAACCATATGACACCCAGACATTGACCAGGTGTTTAGGTGAATTTCCCTATCATTATTTGTAATAATTTTTTGGTAAAACTATAGCTAATTTTATAAGATAAATAGACTCGAGTTATAAGCTTATAGATTGAATTTCCAGGAGAGAGTTAATATTTTTCCTACTTTCTAAATACCTTCCAAAAAATATTACTAGCACCTAAATCCGCAAAAATTTAAAAACCTTTAAACGCGTTATAAATCGAAAATCTGTGGGAAAATCTTATTTCATAAAGCCCTTAAAAACTAATCTATTTTTTATTAATAATAAAGCCATAACAGTTTTAGATGTGCTATTTATTTAGAGCGAGTAACAACCTAAAAACACGTTGAAGGCGCAGAAAAACACGCCGGACATTTGAAAATATTTTGTAAAATCATTCTCCGTAATTTTCTTTTTCTTTGATAGGTGGCAAATTTTCAAAAAGATTGTCTGGTAGAGCCTGCTAATGCCGATTTCGTTCCTACCCAAAAATGCACAAACACTAAGAAGAGGGCGATGAGAAGGCAACATTTTTTGTAGAAACGAAATCGCCCTAAGACACTTTTAATTTGGGAACAATCGTATAGTATTTTATTTAAATTCAATATTTTTAGTTTTTTTTTATTTAGATATACATATTATTCATAAAGGCTCAATTGAGAGATTGTAATATATAGTTTGTGGTATCAATTTGATTGACTTTAATTTTTCAAATAAGTGGCGACCCGCAGTCTCTTTAGTTTTATACCCATAATAATATTTAATTTATTTTATGAATTTCAATCAATAAATTTTTCCCTTAAAAATATTTTTGGTTGTAAGCTTTCATAAGCCTCTTTCTTTTGACATCTATAGTGCGATATGTATGTATGTATGTTATTATAATTAAATAAAATTAAATGAAGTTTTTATAACAGATGGCAACCCTCCTCTTCAAAACAAACAACCAAAATATTAAAATCGGCCAACCGGTTTTCGAGATTTTGTCTGCCGAAATAACGAACTTAACACATATACATACAGTCCTGTATCATCCAATTAATTTGACCAATGGCAACGAAATTTTTGTAATACCTCCTCTTTGTACTTACCTACAACCCAAAATTGTATGCAATTCGGACCACGGCAACGCGTAGAAAAGTGAAAACCACAGAACTGCAGCTGGCTATTAGAAATACTATTTACATATATATAATGTTACTAAGAATAGAATGCTAATAATCATAAATGGGATTTTCGAATTTTAAAACGGGGTAAATAGGGCATTTTTAAAAGGGATATTGAGATTTTCGGACCTTTGGAGTTGGCAACATCGATTACTAGTGCTCGAAATGAGGGCATTCCGCCGTCTTCTGCAAACTCTGGCTGGAGACTAATTTTATCGAACGGGCAAATACAAGGTGGTCTGCGAAGCCCACGTGGCATAGCAAGGCATATTTGGCCTGGGTTGGATGAGCGTAGATCTAGCCGTCTACTCCCCTTGGAGCGACCACTGGTCCGGCATTCAATAGGAGTTCTCACCGGGCATTGCCTGACGGGAACCCACGCTAGTAAGATGGGTATACAGTCAAACGAGTAAATACTGTCGTAGCTGCCATTATGAGGAGGAATTCGAAAGCGTATGCGTATGCAACGGTCCTGCATTGGCGAGAGCTGATCGGTGCTTGTTTCTCCACTATTCCCTTGAATGTCTGGCTGAACTGGATTCAGCTAGTATCTACAATTTTATGCGCTTTATTAGGGCTACCAGTTGGTTTTACTTCAAAGACATGGGAAGAAAATAAGTGTGTCTTTTCTCTGAAA